CAGATGCCCCTGGTCGTATGATGAATGAAAAAGCAATCTTGATATGATAGACTGTATCTTTATGAATGCTAGATTGGAGTTTGGGGACTGAACTACAGAAAGCTCAGAAGAACTAACTCTAACCTTTAACGTACAGTTCAAGACTGTCCATGGACATTCCATCTCAACTAAAGCAAGGTGGTTGGATTTGGTTAGGATAGCTTAGTTCTGGAAACCCAGAAACCAGGTTAATTCAGTAACCAGGTCAAGTGGGTTGTATGAGAACAGCACCCACTCGCTCTCAACCCAACCTACTTCAACAGGTTGTTGTGGAGATAAAATCAGAGAGGCTGTTGTGGAATGCCACTTTGAGATTCCAGAACATAAATGTTTTATCCTTAATGGTCTATGCCACCAAACCTTACCTTTTTCATCAGGCCACAAAAGCATGTCCTGCTACTTTGCTATCCCCACCATCTGAAATTCAGACCCCCACCTCCTCATGGCAGGAAGTGGTTCTTGCAGAGGCTATCTGGAGCCAGGGCAGCATCTTGCTTCACCACAAAAGCCAGACTGTTTGCTTTCTCATGTGACTTCCCTGTGGGGAAATTTTCCAGCAACTTAAGCAACTTGTAAAGTGTGGCCTTAAACTCTGTCAGAAGAAGGCACCTGCTCCTTAAGGGGGTACAAGAAAGGGCACTATATCAGTATCCCTTTTATGGCCTCAAGAACCTTCCAAGAATGGGTATAGTGAAAAAAATTGAGTCCCCCCCCCCCGCATATTGGGAGGCTGGAAAAGGTGAAGAGGCATGCAAGGCATTCATTTTTTCCCTTAAACCCCCAACCTAAATAAACTTACTTTGGGAAGGGGGCCCTTGATATCTTACTGAAAGCCTGGTGCAACATTTCAGTTGACAGGGGTTGTACAGCCCTCCACCATAACTCCAGGTAGATGTTGGGCCAGCTGTATCCTAAGGCATAATGAGTTGGCAGTCTCAGGTAGCAGATGGCAAGAGAGGAGGGTGGGGGGCATTGCTGGGTGTGCCATAGATTCTATCCCACCCACCCATGGCAAAGCCTTAAGCTGTAAGTGAGATCTCTGGGACTGGGGAAGAAATAGGAGTTTTTCAGGACATTAGGGACAAGCAATGGATGGGGCCCCAAATGTGCAAAGGGCCCCATTTCATGGTTGTGTTGACATTGGTGGTTTTTAAAAGATCTCTTGGCTGTATTTATATTAATTTTTCTGTATTGTTTTAATTGTTTGTTTTTATCATTGTTAGCTGCCCAGAGTCACTAGTCTGAGATGGGCGGCTATATAAATTGAATAAATAAAAAAATAAATAAATTCCAGAATCAGTGTTATTTAGGGAAAGGACTATTAGCCCTTCAGCCTTACATTCTGAGAAAAAGAGGTTCAAACAGCTCTTAGAGACCTTGCCTTAGCAAAATGACTAAAATAAATGACAGCTAGAGTTTTGGCTTATTCAGTTTCCAAGATTGGATATAGTGACTTCTTACCTTCTTGACAATAAGCCGAACTAAGAGACTTACCATGAATCCATTTTGCTGGGCTGTATTGTGTGGTTGGGGGCTTGAGAAGACCTCTTAAATGTGATGGTAGAAAGGTATGTTTATGTGTTACATTTCTAAAGCTGCCCAACTCCATGAAGACTTTAGGCTCCAATGTTGTTCTCCCATGACCTGTGCTGAAATAAGATTCAAGAGCTACTCCTGGTTGCTTTTAAAGCTAGAACAGGCAGGGCTGCTGTCTTGTTCTTAGCCTCAGGCACAAAATATTTGGGGATCCTCAGCCCTGTCCAGAGCCAAAATGAAACTTTGTTTGTACTGTAGAAATATTGGGTGGATTTTCACACATTCAAAAGATGACAACTGCACAGGTCTTTCCCATTTCCTGGTAATACAGGGTCTTTAATAGCTCAAAGAACTACAGTCACCCAAGTACAGCATTAAGATCAAGCAACACTCCATCATATTAGGTGAAGAGAGCAAAACAATTTACAGATGTTTCAGATAAACCACAAGGACCAGATTTAGGGCAAGTCAAAGTTCAACTTTAAGTTCCATTGATTTCAGCTGGGCTTTTAGGAATTAGAGTAGAAAATCTAATTAGGTGTTAGATTAGGAATCAATAGAATTTCAAAATAGTTCTCCTAGATCTAACAAGCTTCAGTTGTAGAAAAAAAAGTTTGGGCTGAATGCCCAGAAAAACATGTTCACAGCAAGAGCAATTCAACAAATTAGTTGGGGGCAATATTTGGTTGACCTTTACCCCCCAGGGTCTATTCTGAAGCTCAGCAACTTTTTCTTTCAGCTGGGCACAATGGCCTTTTGAAATTCTCCACCACATTTGTAGGCGACTTTTCTGAGTTTCTCTGGAGAAGGATAAATGAGCCAATCATTTCTCAAGGACTCATCTCTTCAGTAGCACCACCACTCCAAAAGCCTCAAGGGATGAGTTTTCTCTTGATGTTTTCCCTTAGGATTTCATGGAGGATAGGAAGCCAAGGAAAATTCAGACCCTGGAAGGCTGATAGGACAATGAAAACGGGACATTCATGCACTCTCCTTGGCCATCTCATCCCTACGGGAGGGCAAGAACATCCTTTGAAATAATTTCTAAAGAAAATGCTCTTTCATCAAATTAAATGAGTACTGATGAAAAGAAATGGAAGATAAACTCTCTGCCTGGCACTGTCTTCTGTTGTGATTTTGGCAATGGCCTACTCTTAGATTTCCTCCTCCTGTATGGAGTGAGAGTAGAAAGTACAGTAGAGAATAATTTGCCGTTCCAAAAATGGCCTTCTTTTGCAAGCTATCTCTTAAACTCTTTGTCATGTAAAGATCTTTCAGGAGACATGTGAGAAGCAAACAATATAAAATAGTCTACCTCTAACGCATTGTGCCATAGAAATCAACTAACGGGATTTTTCACCACATGGAAAGAGTGAAATATATACCTACCGACCACCACCATAGGTACGCATTTGGATCCAATGGTAGTAGTTGAAGCAGAACAGCAAAAGTGTCCACCTGAAGTCTTAATAGACCCCAATCCCTCTTTCCAGGAATTAAAAAAAACCAAAATTAGAAACTGCACAGTGAAGCATTGATTTCTCTTCCATCAAGATCACAGCTGCCTCACCGTGCCACATGGCATGTTCTCTCTTCTACAGATCCAGTGTATCAGGATTCTCAAATACAGTGGCAAACACTACCGTAGTGCAGAAGCCTGAATGTTGGGTTGATTGCACAGAGCAAATATTTTTTTTAAATGAACAAAAAACCCTGCCACGATCCGTTTTGATGCCTTCAGCCATCAGATGGCGGTATACGCACAGTTCTGAGAACAGTTCTTTATCAGTGTTTTTCAAACTTGGCAATTTTAAGATATGTGTGGAC